CAGTATTAAACTATCAATTTTCTACCAGAAAGATGGAAAAAAAACCCAAAATATTTGAGTTCTGCAGCTTTAAGAGCAACTTTAAAATCCAAGCTGGTTCCTACCAGCATTCCTGGCACCCTCCCCTGTGCAGCCCATGGAATCAGCTCTGGATGCTCCCAGCTCACCCCCTGTGCCAGCCCTGAGCTCTGCCTGCAGTGCCAGCCCAGCTGGGGACAAGGGACAGAGAACCTTTGGCTGCCAGGGCAGGGCTTCCCTTCAGCAGTGACTCTGGGCTCCCCTCCCCTCCCCTGTGGCACCAATTTGGCTCCTCCAATTTCTCCCTGCCCAATTCCAAACCAGAGATTTTCCAAGCTTCCCTCAGACAGCAAACCCAGTGAATCCAGAATCCCTTTTTCTTCTCCTAACACCTTACACCACTCACTAACACTAAACATATCTGGATATTTGCTTGCAGGTGCAGCAATGAGAAAAAAAGCTCCTGGGATATCAGGAATTTATTGCTATAAATGTGAATAACTGCTAGATGATGTTCTTTAATTGGAATTAGGCAAACCTGACAGACAAGAAGTTTACAGGAGTGACCCACAACAGAACATCAGCTTGGGGAGTTTTCTCCATGTCCCATTTCCTTGGACACTGGGGTTGTTTTTGGCACTTTGATCCCTGTAAAGATGCACCAGAGCAGTTCTAGCAAGGTGTGCTCTGTTGAAAACCAGCACAGGGCAGTTTCACCTGCAATTCACACCCACTCTGCAGAGGAACAGCTCTACAGCAGCACAAACAGAACACAGGGTGTAAATTCAGTGTTTAAAGTGATTTATGGATGTGGCAGAACCATACAATAACACTACACTGCACTGAATTTGGCTCCTCCAATTTCTCCCTGCCCAATTCCAAACCAGAGATTTTCCAAGCTTCCCTCAGACAGCAAACCCAGTGAATCCAGAATCCCTTTTTCTTCTCCTAACACCTTACACCACTCACTAACACTTGCAGCTGAAAACCTCAAACATATCTGGATATTTGCTTGCAGGTGCAGCAATGAGAAAAAAAACTCCTGGGATACCAGGAATTTATTGCTATAAATATGAATAACTGCTACATAGCGTTCTTTAATTGGAATTAAGCAAACCTGATAGACAAGAAGTTTATAGGAGTTGCCTCACAACAGACCATCAGTTTAGGGAGTTTTCTCCATGTCCCATTTCCTTGGACACTGGGGTTGTTTTTGGCACTTTGATCCCTGTAAAGATGCACCAGAGCAGTTCTGGCAAGGTGTGCTCTGCTGAGAAACCAGCACGGGGCAGTTTCACCTGCAGTTCTTAGAGCAATTCACACCCACTCTGCAGAGGAACAGCTCTACAGCAGCACAAACAGAACACAGGGTGTAAATTCAGTGTTTAAAGTGATTTATGGATGTGGCAGAACTATAAAATAACACTACACCTGCCACAGGCCACCCTTTCAGAGCTGCCCACAACACACCCCACATGAAACAGGCATTTTCAGGTGAATATTTTGGTGCATCCACAGAAACACAAAGTGGATGTGCAATTTTATTATAGAGGAAAGTGTCCCCACCCATGGCAGGGGCTGGGACAAGATGACCTTGAAGGTCCCTTCCAACCCAAACCATTCTGCCACATCAGAATTTTCCACAACTGTCCAAAGTGCCTCAAACACAAGACTCCAATCCAAAACTCTGCCCATGAACAGAACAGGGAATTCCTGAAATACCAATGACATGCAGCTTCTCAAAATGCTATTTTCATTCTAGAACTCCTTCAGCAATCAGGCAAAGATCAATATTGACTATTGCCAAACCCCTTCAGTGACGCAGCTGCAAATATTGCTAAAGATACCCAGGTGCCCTTTGCTCATTTGTGCTGCTGTCTTGAGGCTCTCACAGCATTCATTAATGCATGCCAGGCTGCTAAAGTCATTCAAAACCTCTCATTTATCCTCCAATTCATCAAGGCACAAAGGAAAAATGGATTAGCAGATCCCAAAAATCTCTCAGGGCATGGAAAAGAGCAAAGCCAAAGGCTCTGAGTCTCTGCATTACCACTTAAAGGTCACATTTTATTTCAAGCTGGAGCATGACCTGTAGGACTTGAAATGAGTTTTATTACTTTAATTCCCACTGTGAAAATACAGCAAGACCAAAAATATTTTTCAGTGGAAAACTATTGTCTAGTTTATAAATAAGTCATTCTTGACCCTTAATAATTCTCAGCTATCAGACAGCAATTAATTTAAAACAAATACAGCAATTAGGGAGGTATTGCCCTAATACCTGCCATTATCAGCCACTCCTTAGCAAATTTTATTTTTAAACTATTTCCTGAACTTTCCCCTTGATAAAAATTTGAAATATGCTGACCATTCATGTTTTGGGTAAGGGATACTGGGCAGGGATCTCCCCAACATAACCTTCTGCATGAGTCAGGCTCTGATAGGAGATTTTCTGTGCTCCTCCCTCTGCATGCTGGCACTCTTTACATTTCTGCTCTTGCTCTTGTGCCAAAGCCAGATCTGGCTTAAAAGCAAGACTTGGAAATACCAACAGCTGGTGAAAAAAACTCCGCCCAAAATACCAGAAAAAGTCAGCTCAGGAAGGAATAAACTAATTTATTCTAATTATTCTATGCATTTAAAATGAATCCTAACAGCATTAAGTGCTTTTTAAAGTTCAGCTCACTCTTGGAGTCAAAACTCAAGATGTGAAGATTGCAACATTCCAAGTTCCATCAGCAATTCCAGATTGCATAAAAAGTCACATAACCCAAGGAACCATCTAAAAGCCAAAGGAGGAACAGAAGTTTCTCACCCAGTTATCTCTGCAGAGTTAGCTCTAATAATTAGCTAATCAATTAAATTCTGACTGTCAGTGTAACAGCTCAATGAGAATGTGGAAGTTAAATCTGAATTACCTGAGAAAAAGGTGGGACACAAAATAGAAACAAATCAATTCATTTTGGACTGACAGTGTAACAGCTCAATGAGAAAAGAAATGTGGAGGTTAAATCTGAACTACCTGTGAAAAAGGTGGAACACAAAACTGAAACTTTACAACTCCAGTGAAATCTAAGATGTGGTTAAAAGTTCCTTTTAGAAATGAAGTTCCTGAGAAACTTTGGTGATGTGGGAGCAAGGAACACTGACAGAGAACAGAGGATGGGAGCTGTGGCAATGTGGAAAATAAGATTTATTTCTTTCCAACTTTAATGCCTTGCCCTCCTGCATTACTTTTAAAGCAGAACTCCCCCTCTGTGTCCTGCACAGCCTGGAAAGCAAATTCTTCTCCAAATATGGTTGGAGTGAGCAGAACTTGCACGTTCCTTTTGCACAAACTCCTTTCACCACCTGCTCACACGATCACGAGCTCTCCTGGCATTTGCAGTGCTTCACTCCAGGCATGGTTCTCCTAGCAACTGCTGGCAGATCTGAGAGCATTTCATCCCCAACTCTTCACATTCTCATCCACAATTCCTCCAGCCAAGGATTCCCAGGTCTTACTCAACGTGTCAGCTGCAGCATTGCTAATGAACACTGTAATTAGCGAGCTCGGTTCCATAATTAGAAATAATTCCAATTATATCTTTAGGTAATTTCCTTCTGCCAAGTGTTCAGTAAACAGGCATCAAAACTGTGACATCCCATTCCCTGTCACAAGAGCAGCACTTGCTGCAACAACAAAATGCTGTTGGAGGACCAATTCTACACAAGAGCAGGCTCCAGTCTCTGTTATTCTCTTTTTACCCTTTTATCTGTGAGCAAAGTTAAATAAATCACTGATGAGACTCACGTGGTTTAATCTCAGCAGCCTGAGCATAACTTAATTTATATTGTTTTAATTTATCTGGTAAGTTTATTGAAGTTTTCTCCCTAGTTAGAGGCAAATTTCTCATTTCAGGCCACTTTCCAAGCAGAGATATGAACAAGCACCTTCACAAACTGAAGATGACCTGAGGCAGACAGAAAAGCGGAGTTAAAGGGTTCTCTCAACCACAATATCAGGTGGCCAGAGATACAGATCTCTGTCACACAATCTCACTTCTGTCACCACAGAAGAGGATTTAGGAAAAAGAGCTCCCTGGATGTTTTGCCTCAAAAATTTTGCAGCTTCCAGCTTGACAGAGGATGAGAATGCTCCCTCAAACTGGCTTGTTATGATGATACAGCAGTACCTCTGTAAAAACGGTGACAGTTTTGCACAGGTTACAGTGAGAGGGGGAAAAGGAAATCTCAAGTACTCATTCAGCTGAAGGCACTAACACAATAATAACAAAATTGTCATTAAAATACAGAGGAAGGATTTAATACATAGATTTGCTCAAGAACCAGATTTATACAATGACTCTCCTAACAGAAATAAGAGTCCTCAGCCTTTAAAAAACAACTGCTGAACTGGCTGGACATCTGCAAAATAAGTCAGGATTTGGACTGGGCTTGTGCTGCAGAGGCATCCGAGCCTCCCTTGAATGAAGCACTTCCTCTGGATCACCAAAGCATCTCCTGTGCTGCCAGGATTCGTCCCAGTGAAAACGCAACACAGATACTGCAATTAACGCTAACAAAGCGAGCCACCCGCAATCGCGCTTGTTTATGTTGTCCTTAACCACTGCTCACACGCACAGCACCCCACTCTGCCCGGCTTTTACCACTGAAACGCCTGTCACTCCACCTAATTGCCACTGATTACAACACAGCAATTGCGGGTGCCTCACCCTGCGGCCGTAGCGATCCCGAAAATCCCCGTTCCCACAGCGGCCCCTCAGCCCCGGGGCCGCCCCACACCGGGAGGACTGCCCCGTCCCCGCCTGCCCCGGCCCCTCCGTGCCCCCGCCCGGCCCGCAGCCCCTCCGAGCACCGGCCCGGCCCCCAGCACCCCCCGAAGCACCGGAGGCAGCGCTCCGGGACCCGTCCCCAGCGCTCCCGCAGCCCTCAGCCCCTTCCCCCCGCGGGGGCGGCGGCGGCTCCCACCCGCGCCTCACCTGGAGGTGATGGCGGCGGAGCAGCGCACCCGCTCGCTGAGGTCGCACAGGGCCTGGTAGTGACTGTCGCGGCCCTTCTCGCGCTCCAAGTGGCAGGCGTACAGGGACAGCAGGATGCCGGCGGCGCACACGGCGGACCGCGCCACCCGCTCCCAGCGCGGCACCGACACCCGCAGCAGGACGGGCGCCGCCATCTTGGCCCCGTCCCTCCGCCTCAGCCCGCGACGCGCGCCCGCCGCGGCCCCGCCCCGCGCACGCGCGCGATTCTCATTGGCCGGCCGCGCACGCGCGCGCACCGCTCATTGGTCGGCCGGGCGGGCGCGCCACAACCCCCTCCCCATTTCCCCCGCGCTGGCCACGCCCCTTCGCCGCTCGCGCCGGACGTGGCGCCTCGCGACGACGTCACGTCAGGCCTGGGCGGGGGTGGGGGGGAGTGGCACGGCGCCCCCTGGCGGCCGCCGCGAGCCCGGCAGGGTCCCCTCACAGCGCCGCGCCCGCCCCGCCGGAGCCCAGAGAGAAAATTGGGCTTTTTCAGCAGGAAAATGGGCTTTTCCAAAAGGAAAATGGGCATTTCCAAAAGGAAAATGGGCTTTCCAAAAGGAAAATGGGCATTTCCAGCAGGAAAATGGGCATTTCCAAAAGGAAAATGGGCTTTCCAAAAGGAAAATGGGCATTTCCAAAAAGGAAAGTGGGGTTTCCAAAAGGAAAATGGGCTTTCCAAAAGGAAAATTGGCATTTCCAAAAGGAAAATGGGCTTTTCCAGCAGGAAAATGGGATCTTCCAAAGGGAAAATGGGCATTTCCAGCAGGAAAATGGGCTTTCCAAAAGGAAAATGGGCTTTCCAAAAGGAAAATTGGCATTTCCAAAAGGAAAATGGGCTTTTCCAGCAGGAAAATGGGATCTTCCAAAGGGAAAATGGGCATTTCCAGCAGGAAAATGGGCTTTCCAAAAGGAAAATGGGCTTTAAAAAAGGAAAATTAGCATTTCCAAAAGGAAAATGGGCTTTTCCAAAGGGAAAATGGGTTTTTCCTCACGTTTTTTCCCTCCGATCTGGGACGCAGGGGAAACCGGGCAGTTCCAATAAATGCAAAAAAGTCTCCCTGGCTGAGCTGACCCTCAGGCATGACGACCAGACAGAATCCTGTATTTCAATGGAATTTATGCATCATGTATGAGGTGTATGAATATGCAACAGGCTGTTGTTTTTAAGGGTTAATCCTCTGTTTACTGTGTCCTTTTTCAGGCTTGTGCTGCCCAGAAAAGGTACCTGGACATCCGTAACTCTTTGTTTTTATTGTCTAATATTGTCCAAATTCATATTGTCCAAATTACTATTACTCTAATTGTATTACTATTTTTATAACCATTTTATTACTATTAAACTTTTAAAATTTCAAAAACAACTGATTGGCGTTTTTCACACCTTTCTATCAAAAGAAGCATCAGCACCTGGCTGGTGGTTAAAGAACCATTTAATCCCCGTGGTTTACAGGTTTACAGGAAACAGCTGAAAATAAACAATCTTTGGTCACTGTGAACATCACCACAACAATTTTTGCTGATTTTTTTGGGATGGCCACCAGCTACTGGTTCTTGTGTCCTTCCCCAAATCCTTGTGAGCGGTGGGCATCAGCAGATGTGGGGGTGAGCCGGTACAAAAGGGAGCTCTGGAGTTTTCCCAAGGAAAGCACCAGGACAAAGCACAATGGCAGCATTCATCCTGCCTGCAGTGCCATCCTGCCCTCATTGTTCTGCAAAACAAAACAAACCCAAGAGGGACCCGGTCACAAAATGACTTCAAGCATCAAGAATCGCCCTGCCAGCAAAAATAAAGAGTGAAAATTGAGAACTATTAATTAAAGAGCATTGAGAAAACCACTCATTAAGAAACGAGTTGCTTGAACTCTAGAAAAGCAAAATTATTGCTCAATTATTGCTCTCAGAGATGGAGAGAGGCCAAGAGGCAGGGAGGAGAAGCTGTCCTGCAGCAACTCCAGTGGTCTGAGCTTCTGCAGATGTCCCTGTTCTGAGCGTAGTTTATCATTTATATTTATCTCCTGATAATTCTCTCATCAGCAACTGCTTTTCTGAGCTCTACTTCTGCTCTATAAACTCACAATGTTAGCACTTCTTTCATCAGGCAACAGTTACATCCCCTGATGTAAAAGATGTTGAAATGTCTGGTCTTTCACCTCCTTTTTAAGTGAAGAAACTGTCCACAAGCAATTTTTTTATCGTAAATTATCATAACTGTTGACTGTGGTATCCCTTATCATTGCTGCTGGGTGTAGAAACAGCTTCATTAATACAATAATTAATAAATTAATTTTAAAATTCATTTCTTTGAGTAGACAGTGTCTCTAAAGCAAGGAGACTCAGCCCAAGGGTGGGGATGAGGGGGCAGGAGGGACCCTGGCTTCTTTTTTGGGGTGAAAATCACAGAATGGTTGGGGTTGGAAGGGACTTCTGGAGATCATCCAAGGCAGGGTCACCTGGAGCAGGTGACACAGGAACACATCCAGGTGGGGCAGGAATGTCTCCAGAGAGGGACTCTGCAGGTTCAGAGCTCTGCCACCCCAACATAAAAAAAATTCTTTCTCATATTGAGGTGAAACTTGTTGTGTTTTAGTTTATTCCTCCTTGTCCTGTTGCTGGGCATCACCAAAAAGAATCCAGGATCATCCCCTTGGAGATGTTTCTATGGATCGATGGGATCTCCTCTTTGTTCCAGAGGATCCCATGAATCCATAGAAATAAAATAAAATCTGTAACTCTACCAAAGGGCTGAAGTTTGAGAGGTTTTTGAGACTCCTTTTCCTCAGAGAACGATTCCCTGAAGGCTGGAACTCTTTCCATGGCAATTTAGGTGTTTATTGTGCCCGAAGGTGGCATGGGTGCAGGTTTATCTTGCTTTAGGTGTTTATTGTGACCGATTGTCCCTCACAGATTTAGGAGTTTATTGTGACCAATTTTCCATCACAGATTTAGGTGTTTATTATTGTGACCGATTGTCCCTCACAGATTTAGGAGTTTATTATTGTGACCGACTGTCCCTCACAGATTTAGGTGTTTATTGTCATCGACTGTCCCTCACAGATTTAGTTTACTGCGACTGATGGTCCCTTACAGATCTAGGTGTTTATTGTGGCTCAGGATCCTACAAGAGCGAATTTATCTCTATTTAGGTGTTTATTGTACCTGAAAGTCCCACAAAGACGAGGGTTTAACCCTATTTAGGTGTTTATTATGACCGAGGATCCTACAAAGACGGGCTTAATACGATTTAAGTGTTTATTGTGACCGAGGATCCTGCACGCGCGTATTTATCACAATTTAGGTGCTTATTGCGTCTGAAGGTCCAGCAGACGCAGGTCTATCGCTATTTAAACGTTTATTATGACCAACGGCCCTCTAAGCCCGGGTTTAACCGCACTTTAGGTGTTTATTTATTTACTCCCACCGCCGCCATCGCGGCCCCTACCGCCCGGCGCCTCAGGCGGGCGGACGGGGCGTGGCCTTAGCTGAGCCCCGTCCCGGAAGTGACGCAGCCCGCGGTGACCTTCAGAGGCGGCGTGCCGGTATCAGAGCAGGCCGTGCCGCTCGGCGCTCCCTCCGCTTCCCTCCGCGCCGCCCGGGGCTCCCTCCGCCTCCCGCCGCCATGCCCAGGGGCAGCCGCAGCCGCACGTCCCGCGTGCCGCCCCCCGCCAGGTGAGGGCGGCCGGGGCCCCCTCTCCTTCTCCCCTGTCCCCCGCGCAGGCCGCAGTGGCCTGGCCGCCATTGTGTGGGCGGGTGACGCGCCGGGGTGGTGGCAGCGCCCGGCTGGTTTGAGCTGGGCTGGCCGTGGGTTAGCGGACCGGGGTTGGGGGATGGAAATGGGTCTGCTCGGCCGCAGGGACAGGACACCAGCGCCGTGGTGATCAACCGCTTTTGGGTCGTGTTGTATTTTTCCCCAAAACAGCCGTGTGAGCAGAAAGAAGCCTGTAACCCTGACCATGTCTTGCATAAGACGCTTACCAGAACAGCGAGTTCGCTCCTTCAGTGTGTAACAGGGATGTGTGTAATCCCAGCGCGATCCTTGGAGCCTACTGTGCAGCACGCACTGTGACACTGTGTGTCCCTTCCAGCTGGGGACATTCCGTGCCTCACAGGAGGAGCGGCGGGCTCTGCAGCCGTGTGGCTTCTGCCCGGCGTGGTTGGGGATCACGATGATGATGATGGAATGATGTTTCTCTTGGTGTCCCTGCAGCCGTGTGGCCTCTGCCCGGCATGGTTTGGGATCATGATGATGATGGAGTGATGTTTCTCTTTGTGTCCCCGCAGTCGGGCACCCCCGAGGAGAGTCCCGTCTCCAGCACCGGCTCCTCGGGCCTCTGTCCCCGCAGCGGCTCCGCCTTCAGCCGTGGCGTCCCCGGCCCCGAAGCAGCCGGGGCTGATGGCCCAGATGGCCTCAACTGCGGCCGGGGTGGCCGTGGGCTCGGCTGTGGGACACACCATCGGCCATGCCATCACCGGAGGATTTAGTGGAGGGGGCAGCTCTGAGGCTGCCAGGCCTGATGTCACTTACCAGGTGAGGGGGAGCAGGGCTGGACACTGATGGCAGCTCAGCTCTGTGCTGAGGGACTTACTGGAGCCTTAAACACCACATGAGTCACAGCTGGGATGCTTACAGTCTTTATATAATCTATATATATATAAAAAAAACTATATGTAGAGTATAACTACAGACTGAATCTCCAAGGTAACTCACCATGAGTCATCTTAAAAAGAGTTCAGAGGGATGCAGGAGGGATGTGTGGCAAGGTGTTGGTGTTATTTTCTACTGTATTCCTCTGATTCAGACAGGACTTCCATGTTCCAGGTCTGATGTTGAGGAGACCTTTGCTCAGGTGCCATCCAGAGTTACTTGAATGTATCAAAACTGCTCAAGTATTTGTAATTTTAAAAACTACTCTGAAGGTGATAGTCCTCTGCTGGAAAATTGTTTTGTACTTTAGCCCTCCACTTGTTTTCCATTAAAAAAATGAAGGTGTTGACTGAAATGCGGGCAAGAACCCTCAGCAAGCAGTGTTGGGGGTGCTTTGGCTTTGTTGGAAGGGTCTTTATGGAGCCATTTGGTGTTTCAGGAGCCCCAGGGTGCTCAGGCTGCCCAGCAGCAAGGTCCTTGCCAGTATGAGATGAAACAATTCCTGGAGTGTGCCCAGAAGCAGA